AATCATTATGGTTGTCAACAAAAATACAAAGAGACTGAAGAAAAGGGAAGAACATAGATGTCAAACGAATATGCATCCTCATTCATCCTGATATTTTGTAAAATCTACGTCTTTTAATCTCAGAACTACGGGTTGTGGTCTTTTTTTATGTATTTCGTTAAGACGTTTTGTGAAAAATCTGTACGTGATGGAAAAAAATGGATATCATTTTCGTATTCAGCGTAGAGGAATTACTGTAGAACATGTAAAAATATCAATACAATAAAAACATTGCAGGCCTGTGTAATTGGTTTTGTTTCCATCTCAAAAATGAGAATACGGCGTAAAAACAATACTGAATTTTTTAAAATAGAGACAGCAAGCTTACTCAGCTTCTTCGGGAAGCTCTCGGAAGTTTAACTTGTAGGGCAGCCATGATAGCTCATGTTTCTTCTGCTCCCGAACATTATTCCGAAACCCTAGCTACGATTCAACTAGCAGCGAGGATTCATCGGCTGAGAAGACAAAAGTTTAAAGTGAGTAAAAGTATTATCAGCACGAATGGGTTACCGAATTCTGAACGATTTAAACGTTTTGTACAAGAAAAAAAAAAGATGTGATTGATTTTCAACACTTCCGATCTAAAAATACTGTTTAGAGCTTTGCGTAAAGTATGTTACATTTGTTTATATAAAGCCAAATTTAATGTTGCATTTGTTTCATAATAGATATATATAGCCTATAAAATAAGGACAGCATCATCACAATGTTCATACTGTTAAAATGATCTCTTCTTCTGTCCATTTTCTTATCAGTTAAACGTATGATTTTTTTCATTGCATTGTAAAGTTATTTGACGTTATGTTTTAACTAAAGGGCTGTTTATTTGTATATTGAATAAAGGTAAAATGTGCGTGTGCGTTATACAGATGTCTCTGGTGTCTGGAATGAGTGTTTAGTTAGCAATAATTAGAACGTGATGTTGAATGAATAGATATGTTTAATTTAATATTTGGTCTAAAAATTTGATATGTTTTGAATGAAAATATCTAAACTGCTTAAAGCTTCTCGTGTAAAATTATAAGTCTTAAAATACAATGTAAAAAGTTGTACAAAAGAAATCATGTTACAAGTTGTGTTGTCATATAAGTTGTTATCAACTTACATTTATAAAGAACACTCTAAAGCAAAATATGGCGTCTTGTGACTTGTGTAAGAAATATTTATTTTCCAGACGTTTCGTTTCTGTAACTTTCCTAAGATCTACGAAAAGAAAATCGGAGATTATGTTGTGCAAATAAAATGTTACAATAAATAGTGAACTAACAATAGGACCAAAAACTAAAAACATGACAGTCATCTATCAAGTGTTTTCAGGTTTATTTGGCAATATAAATTGGTAAAGAAAATATTACCTTTAAAATATCGCGTATCCGTCAATTAATCATATAATCTTATTAGTCTAACTGTTTTAGTTTCCAGGGGCGACTATTAATCATATAATCTTATCAGGTTAACATATTTAGTTTCCAGGGGCGACTATTAATCATATAATCTTATCAGGTTAACATATTTAGTTTCCAGGGGCGAATATTAATCATATAATCTTATCAGGCTAACATATTTAGTTTTCAGGGGCGACTATTAATAATATAAGCTTATCAGGATAACTTTTTTTTTAGTTTCCGGAGGCGACTATTAATCGTATAATCTTATCAAGCTAACTTTTTTCAGTTTCCAGGGGCGAGCTCCAGCGAAAGTTCCAGTGATGATCGAAAGGTGTGCCGTCCGTTTCTGAAAGTTCACGCAATTACTGAAGACAACGGCAAGTCTGGCAGTAGCGATCCTGATAATACCTCCAGCAGTGAACAGTCCTGCGACACGGTGATTTTTGTCGGAGAACGGGGAGTATCTGTAAGCAGTTGTCACGTTAAGCGCAATGTTTCATTGTCACCACGGCCTACTAAACAGAATCATAATGGTCAAAGTGCTGTAATAACACAAGAAAGTGTGAATACTGCAAAATTTCAGTATTCATTCAATTCTAAAAATGGAAAAAATGCCTTCGCTTCGATGACTAATGCGTCATCAAGAAACGCATTGAGAAATTACAGTGTAGGTGAAAAAAACTCGAACGTGCGAGTTGCTGATAGAACTATAATAAACACAGTTGAGCCTAATGCTTTTGCAGTAAAAACAAAAAATCAACACCATCAAACAGAAAAACGATTGAATGAAAGGCTGCAGGCAGCTAATTCATCATCCACTAGTGATCATACAATAGTTTTACCAGAACAGGGTGGACTACCTAATCAATCAACAGGCCCTCAAGCTTCTAGAAAATATCCGTTCAAACACAAACTACAGTACATAAAACGGAATGAAGGAAAACTCTCTACTTCAAGTAGCCATAGCAACAGTGCCAAAACACATAGTACTCGAGACCCAAGAGTTCAAAGTGATGAGCTTTGGATTGATGGTCCAAGGTTTTGTAAATCAAAATTTGAAAATCTGTCACTTAAAAGTCTTCAGAAAGAACAATGGGTTGATGGACCTGGGTTCGAGTTTCATGGCCACATAGATGAACACAAAAAGCAATTTATTTCGAAATGGGTGGAAGAGCACTCGCAACATGTGCAACAAAATATAAAGGATTTGAAAGGAGAGGTTTGGATAGATTTCCCGCCATTGAAAAAGAATGTTTCGTGTACAGAGATGGAGGGAAACTCTTCAGATATAATAAAAAAGATGGACGTTTTGGGTCCAGAGAAGCAACAGAACATTTGTGAACTGAAAAAGACGGTTCCCCAGTTCCACCAAGATGAACATATTTCTGTTCAATATCAGAAAAAACTCCAAGGTAATATTCGTCACCACAACGAGGCGTTTCTAGCTTTCAATGAACACAATGTACCGGAAACGTGGCACCAAGAAACTATACCAACTATCGAAGACCACAGACACAGCGTAGCCTATGAATATCTTGATGACTGTAGTCGATCGTTTTACCTTACAGATGTTGAAGAGTGTAATGAGGGAGAAAATCAAACAGATCAACATGGGACTGAAGACACTAATAGTGATCAAGACATAGAGTTGTTTGAAACAGAAGGGGAAGGTGAATCAGTGCAAATGCAAGATTCTTGTCTCCAAGTCAATGAAGAAGATATCATTGTTGCTATGTTACAAGACAGTCCCTCCAAATGTGAAGGAACAAATTCGAACACTAAATATGAAATTCTTACCGAGCGTCCTCTCAAAACTCTGAGTAAGACTGATTTCGCCCTAGACTCATCATTCATGGATTTACAAGTTGAAGGTCTAAACAGTTGTGATCAAGAGTTTGCTACAAGCAAAAGTATCAGAGGGTTTCAGTCAATGCTGAGAAATGTGAATCGGGAATATTTAGATCTTACAGGCCTCAATGAGAAAAGGTATTTTATGAGAGAAACGGTTCCAGATGTACGGCCTTCTCTTTGCTGGGACTCTTTTGGAGATCAGAATTTGAAAGTCAAGGAGAAGAGTGACGATGAGTATCTAGAGACAACATCTCTCCCTGGTAAAGATTTCAAGTCAATCTATAGTGACAAAATTACCACAGATCCTGAAGTTTCAAGCACACTAAGCGAGCCAGTGGACTTCACGAAACTCCGATTACCATGTGACCAGAAACTTCTAGCGTTCTTGAGCAAACCCTCTCGTGAACCAAAGCCGATTTTGGCCGTTTCACCAATAGTGCACCAAACAAAAGAAAAATCTGCTTCCCTTGGTGAACTTGGAGATTTAGAACTTCAACAATTGAAAGGTTTTGAAACTCAATATCCTCCTCGTATGTTTTCCCATGAAGTAAATAAGAAAATGTTAGCTTTTCAAGAGACTGGAGAAAAATTACTATATTCCAAACCTTGTGAAATGCTGACAAAACAGCAAAGAAACTTAGACAGTCACAACGCACAAAGTAATAAGCATTCCATGCTTAATGCGAGATTTACAAATCCAAATACTGAAGTTAGAACAACCTCATGCGATATCACTCAAAGCGTTGATTCAAGTGGGTACAACCCACAACTGTGCATCCCAAAAAATGAAAATGAAATAATATTAGAAGTCAAACCACTGGATTTTACGAATATTGGCGCTTTACAAAACTGCAGTCATCAAAACTTTTCAAAAATAAAAATAGTTCAAGATTTTGGTGGCAGTGACGTCAAGGAAAGAGATCTGGCTTCCCAATCTCACTCTAAGTTACAACATTGTTCAACTGAGATCAACAACAAAAGCGTGATACTTTTCAGCAAAGTAAAACCGACTAACAATACCAAGCGTTTTCAGAAACTAGATAAACGTATAAAATCACCTTTTATTTCTTATCTATCTCGAGAAGGTGTGGCGTCTCTGTCGTTTTGTGATGATAATACAACTCAGACGATATCGGGTGACATTCAGTGTAGTTCTGACAGTTCCCCCAGAAACTGTCCAATAGACTCACCTTTAATTTCACCCTATGCTAAGATCACTCAGGCCCGTTCTACAAAGTCTAGCAGCGGGCGCGGAAGTGACAGCAGTATTGTTAGTGGTGAACCCAGAGAAGGGTCAAAGATACTGCCTCTCAAACTACATCAGCTCTCTGGGACAAGCAGTGGGTACGAGAGTATGATGCGGGACAGTGAAGAAACACCTGCGTCGTCTAGCCAGGAATCAGGAAACGAATGTGACACTGGAGAGCATCGGAATAAAAAGGGGGTTCGACGTAAGGCAATGGGTGAGTTAGAAAAAAAAAAGAAGAGTTAACTTTATCGTTTGGTTTAGTCCGTGCATAATTTTGTGAAGGTATAATGCTTAACAATATGTACAGAAGAGTTCGGACATAAAAGTGGATTATTTCAAGTTTTGAGAAGTTCGCTAATTTATCTGTGAGTAGGCCCTTGTCTGTTCCATGGTATAATCCATGAAATATTGTATTAACCTTTTTTTTTACATCTAAATATACTGATTCCTAATAGCTGCTAGAACCCTTTTTTTAAAGGCTTATCAACGATCTTGTTCTTAAAAGCTGGAATTACTTAATGACATTCTAATAAGGTAAGAAAAAATCAGTAAATAATTCAAATCTAAAGGATAACAAACACTTTTCTCTTTTTTATAGGTCTTGAACATCATACCAAGCCTTCCACTTTTCATCCTCTTGCGACCAAAACAAGTCCCACGTGTCGCGATTCCCCTCTTGTGATGACCAAAGAGCCCTTGATGTCAAAACATCACAAGACCAATGAATGGCACAATAGCAACTTACAGATTCCTGATGAAAATGTATGCTGCACGGGACTTCTGTGTTGTGGTGTTGGCTTCCGAAAGATTACCTCTGATTTGTCCTACGTATAACCACCAACCACTCAGAATGCACAGTTGGTCCATCCTATCTTTGTGCCTAAACAAAAGAATTAACATATTTAAAAAAATCACTGTCCATCAACAACTTAAGAAAAAATCGTCAAGAAGCGCAAATTCATAGTACATTCAGAAGTATATTTGTAACACTGGTAAAGATGTGGAAGTTGAAGAAATAACACGCTTAAAAGCAGACAAAATGAGTCCCAGTGTAAGTTTATAAACAGCTGTTTTCTAAAAGAATTTACTGTTTCTCATTTTACGAGTTTTTATTCCAAACAGGACCGGTTATCGTGAGCGGAGTGTGAATATGAGAATTCGTGGTTTGCGCCCTATTGTCGTTAAAATGTGCTTTGCACATTGGGGCCATAGGTGCGCTATAAGAATGACGGCCAAATCCCACTATTCGGTCATATAAGCTTAGTCCAAGATTTGGCGATAGGTGTTATTTACTAAGTGCCTTTTTTATAGTCCAACAGTTCTAAATTTAGTAGCGGCTAAACAAGGGTATTTGACGAATAAAAAGTAGTTTCGAAACTAAAAAAATATTACCCTAGTATATAATTCCTAAAATAGTGTTGCAATACTAAGTTTGATAACAAGGACAAATACCTGACAAATTACTTGTTGAATAGATCTGATAAACTACTTGTTGAATAGGTAATAACAACAAATATCTGATTAACTACTTGTTGAATAGGTAATAACAACAAATATCTGATTAACTACTTGTTGAATAGGTAATAACAACAAATATCTGATTAACTACTTGTTGAATAGATAATAACAACAAATATCTGATAAACTACTTGTTGAATAGGTAATAACAACAAATATCTGATAAATTACTTGTTGATTAGGTAATAACAACAAATATCTGATAAACTACTTGTTGAATAGGTATTAACAACAAATATCTGATAAACTACTTGTTGAATAGGTAATAAAAACAAATATCTGATAAACTACTTGTTGAATAGGTAATAACAACAAATATCTGATAAACTACTTATTCAACAGGTAATTACAACAGATATCTGATAAACTACTTGTTGAATAGGTAATAACAACAGATATCTGATAAACTACTTGTTGAATAGGTAATAACAACAGATATCTGATAAACTTCTTGTTGAATAGGTAATAACAACAAATATCTGATAAACTACTTATTCAACAGGTAATTACAACAGATATCTGATAAACTACTTGTTGAATAGGTAATAGCAATAAATATCTGATAAACTATTTGTTGAATAGGTAATAACAACAAATACCCGATAAACTACTTGTTGAATAGGAATTAACTGTGCAGGTTTATGGTCAAGTTATCTTAAAGAGATGATAAAACGCTCTAAATATTAATTCTTATAATGTTTTTTAAACTTACTGAACAGATATTTAACTTCATAAACATCGTAACTGTCTATAGTAAAAGAGCTTTCTTAGATGGCATTTCTAATAGCCGATATACTTAAGTTCAGAGCGTTTAAATCTGTCACATCATTTCTTCTGATTAGTATACATATATATAAGAGTTTTGCTTTTTTTTTCTGTACATATCTATGTGTCAGTTTTTTAACAAAATTTCTCCAATTAATCGCTAACGAAGAAGCAGTTCAGTAACACTTCAATAATAGGTAACTTCAATGTATTTGTTGCACAATATTTCCCCGAGTTACACAAATGTTAGACGTTCCATTTTCCCCTCAAAAAGCCACAATAGTGTATTGAAGAAAACCCTTCAGCGTGCTAACCCATTGTTTTGTCTCCAGAGGGACTAAAATATAGAATAATATTTTTTTTGATTATGTGAAAGGTACGATAAAAAAAGCGCCTCCTAACTTACTATAGTGAAAAACAATTGGATGGTGAAACTTATATTTAATAATCACCTATGATTATGGAACTAATAACAGGTACTCTGTAATATGCAATTTCTTACGAAATATTTATTTTGAATACCAATTAGCATAACAGCTTATCATAATTTTGAAAGATTAATTTGTTCGAATTATGATATATTCTGGAAAACATTGCAAGTGTGTAAAAGTGTAATTAAAGTAAGTATTTTCTGATTTCCTAATTACAGACTGACTGGTGAAATACTCCTGAACACAATGGTATTTAGGACTGGAATCAGCCAAGGGGGTCAGAAATCGTGGAAATAAATCAACTAAAATAAAACAGTTCTATAAATGTAGATTAACCATCGACTGAAGTCTAACGGATTTTAATGTAAAATAGTTTACTTTTTTCTCTGCAGATGAAACTTGCTGAAGTTTTCCAGCCTTTCTTTTGTACCCATTTAAAATATCAGTAGATGGTAAAGATATAAAGGTAAATGTATGTTTATGTATGTTATGTAATGTAGTAAGGTAAGTTGAAGGTTTTACTAGATAATATAATTTACTGTATTTTACTTTACTGTATTAAGCTTCCATGAAATATTATCAGGTCAAACATATCATGTATCACATGTGTTTTAAAGTATTTATCCAAACGACATAATAGTTATTTCACCGATTGTATATATATTCTGTTTACTTTTTAGCTTCCTCGTCCGATCAGATAGCTATAAATGTTTTTGTAACTAAACAATTCAATATTTTTGAAACTTTCAGTGAATAAAATATAAAGATAATATTTTACTCAAAAGCAACAAAAAATATAAAATTGTTAAGCTGTTTAAACGTGGTACCATCTAGTTATTTTTTAATATAACGTACTTTTGGTATTGAATTGTGATATTTTGTTAATAGCTAGATTACTTGGTATTGATAACTGTTGTGGTTTGGTTTGTTTGTTTTGAATTTCGCGCAAAGCTACACGAGGGCTATCTGCGCTAGCCGTCCTTATTTAACAGTGTAAGACTAGAGGGAAGGCAGCTAGTCACCACTACCTCTTGGGTTACTCCTTTACCAACGAATAGTGGGATAACTGTTGTGACGTAACGTCCTAATTAAGACGGAAATAATATTAAGATTATTCTTCAAGTACATTTCCCCATTGAACAATAAATATTATTATTTAATAATTTAATTCAGGTCTGTTGAACGTTAACCAAACCAAGACTGAAAATCAAATTAAATGTGTTATTTAATAAAAGAAAATGCTGTATAATAAAAAATGTTACTTGATATATATATATTTCGAATCATTCTTCCTGCCTCAAGCTTCATAAAATTATTATCTCCTATGTCTGTGGCGAAAAAGAATAGTAGCCTTATCCAATCTACAGTGACTATTGTTGTTCATATCGAGTGAAGGAACGGTTACAGCCTTCGGGGTTTTCTACTCTTCTTTGCCTGGTGTACTAATATAATAACATATGTTAAAAACGCTCACGTAACCTAAACCAGCACATATTCTTTTACTTTACAATCTTTTCTTCGTAGTTCGATAAGTAAATATCTATTAAAATATCTTTGTAGGCTTTTATTCTTTAGACAAATTTATATTGTGTTTTTTTGTATAATCTTGATTCTATTTTTTCAATTTTACTCCAGTGATCAGTTTTTCAAGCAATATTTGATTAACTAATTTAAACTATATCTTTCATTGTTACATGTTTCTATCAATTTGTCTACATTAAAAATAGTTTATTTCAATTTATTTAGGTTATAATTATTATGTTCAGATAGCTTCATGTAAGAAATTAATCATAATTACAAGCCTAGAATATGAATGTTACTACGACAAATGATGTACATTATGTGTGTGGGAAGGTGTAAAGGATATAAAATAAAATTACAAAATACCGAACAAATGTCTATAACATTTGAATATTGTATATTACTATTGTAGTTTCGGGCTCTCACCAATTCCTTATAAGTATATTACTATTACACTACACTAAAGCTGATTTTCTAAACAGAATTTGCACAAATTTAAAGTGTAATAATACTATCATTATAGAGTAAATAGATGTATGGTGAAAATAACCTTTTACTCGCACTTGTCGTCCTAGTTTCTCTGTGGTTGTTATTTGGTCAAGAGATCCGGAGGATCAGGTACACACCGAACCTATACTTCCTTCCTTGGCTGTTGTTTGATTGCTTGTTTCTCTGTGGTTGTTATTTGGTCAAGAGATCCGGGAGGATCAGGTACACACCGAACCTATACTTCCTTCTTGGCTGTTGTTTGATTGCTTGTTTCTCTGTGGTTGTTATTTGGTCAAGAGATCCGGGAGGATCAGGTACACACCGAACCTATACTTCCTTCCTTGGCTGTTGTTTGATTGCTTGTTTCTCTTCGATAAAGCCTGCACATTTCTACACCATATCCGTTAGGAATATCTATTTTTACAACATGCAACTCCTGCATGTTCGCTACGATTGCCTGCAAGTCCCATCGCAGTACAAACGAACGAACGAAAATCTGTATGGGTCTTTTGATCTATGACCTGGGGGTGGGGTAGGTACAACGGTGACCTCTTTCCCTACCCCTGTACAGTAGGTTAGTTTTTATTTCCCTTTTTTTCATTAATATACAGGAAAATGCTAATTTTATTACTGTATAAAAGTCAGTAGTTGTGCTCGAAATTAGCTCCAAGCCCTCTTTCTGACCCATTTCCTTGGGCCATGTCCAACACCATTAGCATTTTCATTTCACTTAGGTTTGTGTGAAAACATTCACATACAGTTCCGTTGACAATCACATACGTTCACTAAATTAATTTGCTAGGATTGTATTGTCCAAATACAAAAAAACAACAACATTTTATTCTAATGACATGAGTACGAGCTAACTTTAGGTGGTTTACTTATGCACTTATAGTAAGTATATATTAGGAAAGATACTTAGGTCTATTTTGCATAGGTAATGGTTGTAGATTAGCGTATTTATGTGAGAAATTTGATCATTTTGATCAGGGTACTCTGAATGCTGAGGTTAGAAGTAAGTTTTGTAATTTACTTTTGACCTGTGTGGGTGCAATAAATCCATACCGGACATGCGTATTTTATGACTGGTTTTATATACATAGTGTATATTTGTATAACGTTTTAAGCTGTTGTTTCTTTATTTGTGCCTGACAAACTCCTAGCGTCGTTTTATGTGTTGCCAAACTCTATTTCTAATTTCTTTTATATGGTTGGTTCACGTTAGTTTGGAATCATAGACCAGTCCTAGAAATCTTGGAGATGTTGCAGTCTGGAGTAGAGCTCCGTGTAAGTATATACTGTTTTCGGTTGGTTTGATGAACAGTACTATTCGTGTTATTAGAACATTTATTTTTTTCTGTATTTTTGACAGTATGCTAGTATTCTGTTTAACTGTGGTTGTATATTCGTAACTGCTATAGAGGGTGTGGGGGAGCTCTTCCAAATTGCCACATCATCCGTGAATTGCGAGGCAAAGCCTGCATTTTGTTCTTTAAGCAGCATATTGCTAACATACATACTGAATAGTATAGGGCTAACCTACCTCCCCTGGGGTACACCCACTTCTGGAGTAAAATACTCAGAGTAGGTACCCTCTACTTTTTCTGTTTTTCAGAAAGTTGGACAGCCAGCGAATAATACCGCGCGATAGTTCCATTTCCACTATGTGGAACCTGAGACCATTGTGTCATACGGTGTCAAGGTTTTCTCCATATCGAGAAAGCAGGCGACAGTGCATTCATTTATATAAAGCTATCTGCTATTGTTACTGTTAGGCTAACTAGATGCTCCTTTGTTTGTCGGAATTTTCTGAATCCGTTTTGTATTTCTGGTAACTTAGAGGTGGCTCTCAGAAATGTGAATAGTCTATTGCTAATTATACGTTCTAGGAATTTGCCTATACAGCTGTTCAGGCTAATCAGGCGGCAATTGTACGGTTTATTCGCTGGTTTCGCTCCCATGGAACACTATGTAGAATATTATAGGTGTTTGGTTGTGTTTGGGCAACCTGGGAGGTTCTGATGTTATCTAGACCTCTTCCTCCTATGGAACAGTTTATCTCATCTCATTGGGGCTTAGGTCTTGGAGACCTGGGAGGGTCAAGTGCTAGTTTGACCTTTTCCTCCCTCCTGAACTATTGTTAGTTGTTGATCTTTTGTTTGGTTATTAGATAAGTGGTTGGATTTCTTTTGGTTTCTCTGTTGCTACCTTCCTTTTCATGGCCATGACCGTTTATTTTGTCTGATTATGTATTAGTTAGTATGGTTATTGTAGCTGTGTTCTTGTTTGTGAACTTACAACTTATTGTGTTATATGAGGAAGTAAAGGTGTAAAATGTTGAATAGTGAATAGTCTTCTTGATTTTGTGGGTTTTGGTATTGTCTTATAAATTCTTAAAATATGTTATTGGCTGCTTCTGTTACTTGATTTAGTGTTTCGTGTTGTTGTGTTGTGAGACTTGTGGATTGTGTGTTTTTCACTTGTTTATGTGTTTCTTGAGTTTGAATGTGTTTACGTGCTGCCTGTGCATATGTGTATGATGTAGACTGTTTGTTTGTGTTTTGGGTTTCTTGAGGTTTTGGTGTTGGTAATAGAGGTGTTCTTCTTCATGTTCTGTTTGCTTCAGGGTTCTGTGTGTTTGTAATTGAGTTATTTTGTATGTTAACTATTCGTGTTTTACTTAGGTCGTCCTTTGTAATTTGCTGTGCGATGCTGTTGGCAGTTACAGAGGCATTCTGAGTTTCTGTGCTCTCCCAAAAAACCAACACAGCGTGGGAGAGCTTTACATGCTACCGTCACATGTCCATAGCGTTGGCAGTTGTAACACTGGGTTACAACTATCACTGGTGTTTTTGTTGGTTCTACTTTGTAATTATGATGCCAGAGAATGATACCTTTTAATATCATGCTCTGAATATCTTGTATTTTCTGTACACATACTTTAACTATGTTTGAAAGTTTTTTGTGTTTTGTTTGAGAAAAGTCTTTCAATTTTCGTGTATTTTATGTTTATGTGTGTGAGTTAATTTTGGAAGCTGTTCGTTTGTAATGCTGGTGTGTATATCTTTAATCACAAATGGTTTTGGATCAGATCGTGTTCCTGGAATATGTATGGTAATACTTCCTGGTGCGAAAGCACCTTTAGGCCATTCTTGTAGATGGCGGTTGAGGTCAGCGGCCTCTGTTCCTTTATCAAGGACATTGCCTTTGGTTAGTCGTTTAATTGCTACTATTTTGACTTCCAGCTTGCACCTTTTAATTTCTGACGCAATTTGTGGCTTTCTGAAGTTGTCCTGTAATTCCTTGTATGATAACAGAATATTTTGATGGTTGATTGAGTGTTTTGTTTCCTTGCGATATTGTGTCTGTTTCTGTGTTATTTGTTTGCTCTTTTTTTATGTTATTAGTGTAAAATCGTTTGTTTCTTCGTCTGCTTCCATAGTTTTGTGTGACCGTACTTGTGTTTCTTCGTTTGCTTCATTTTGTTTCATTAGTTGTGCTTGTGTATTCTCGTGTGTTTCTTTATGTTGTACATATAGTGTTTGTGTGTTATTGTGTGCTTCTATGTGTTCTGCATGGTGTGTTTGTATATAGGCATTTTCTTCCTTTTGTTCATGGTTATCTATAATCTCTATATCTGTGCTAGTGGTATTTGTTTTAGGTGAGTTGCTTTTAGTCAGTTTTTGTTTTTTCCTTTTTCTCATTCTGTATGATAAATCCTTTTTTGGCAAAGACTGTTAAATGTTGTATTGAGGAGTTAGTTCAATACTGTATATATATATCCGTGTCAGTGTAAATTACTTGTACCTGATGATCACAAAACCTTGTCGAAACGTTGTACATTTGCTGTTATGTTAAACTTATATTAAAGTTTTTCTTCATTACCCATTCAAGCCGTCTCCAGCCAATATTAGTATGGAATAGTACAACAACCACATAAAGCGGTTTGAACCGCCCGCTATAAATGTGAATCGATCGTAC